TGAGGGGGACCCACATGAACCTCTACAAGAGGCTCCGATTGGCCAGGCTGGCTGAAGTATATTGAAATACGTAGCCCATTGCTCACTTGCTTGCACTGGGACACTCAAGGACTGTCAATAGAGGACATCAACACGAGGTATGGCCAAAGCAGCACCCAAGACTACTCAACTGCAAAATGAACCTTTTTTTCTTAGAAGTGTGTTCCTGAATAATGCTCACCATACCTGCTCATATCTATGCTTACACTTCAGTCATTCTCAGTCCCAGATAAAATCTTAATAAAAACCATTATTTCTGTCCTCCCCTCACAGCAGCAGGCCCATGTGAAGGGCCTGCTAGAGAAGGACAGCTTGGACAGTTGACAGTCTTGGACAGCTGACACCAGCAGGCTGGATAGCTCATGGCTTTTATGATGTAGATGAGTACAGCTCCTGTCCTGAACATGCACTTTCAAGTCAGCACCCAAACAAAGTACTTCTGATGCTGCAACGCCCCAACTTGCTTCTGTCTTAAAATGGCAACTGTAATAGAGTCTTCTTGAGTTTTGAGCTAACTGCAACTGACCTGCAGTAGGAACCATGTCCTATCAGCGGCGCACGCGCGTCATCCTCTGCAAAGCTCATGCTCTCTCACCCTCCAGGCCTTTTTCTCTGACATTTCTCCATTCTGCTCTTCTCTTTCTACATCTTCTCTTTCAGGTCTACCTTTCAAACTGTCAAATGAGAAGTCACTACTGCGATCACACACGTATCTTCTAGGGAAACAAGTGTTTCACCTAGGGTAGAGAAACTAATATACCTCTGATTTACAGCATCATTCAAGAATAACTTAAATTACTTAATATGATTTTAGTTAAACTGCAGCTATCTCACTAGCCTGCAAAGGACATCTGCACCGCATGCAATCAGTTCTGATGCAGAAAAGGGCTGCAGAATTATGTTTACATCCTGTAGGCTTTGCAGGACATGCCCATGTTTCCACATATAAAAGCAGGAAGGGTTAAAGCACAGTAACTAGCACAATTTAGCAATGTATTTTTCTTTTTCACTTTGTTTTCCATGCTTATACCTTTCTTCAGTATTCTGCAGGAGTTCTCACCATCTTTCTGCCTTTCTTATGACCACCTTGCCTAAATTTTTCATTTCCAATTTGGCCTTACAATTTATTTTCCTTTGTTCTTTTCTCCCCACCTTCATAAATGTGCCCTAACGTGTATTTAAGATGCTAACAACACCCAAGAGGATTTTTAGAAGACGAGAGCACAGCAAGTGCCTATGAAACCTGGCTGCACACACCGCATCTGCAGCCAGCGGATGCCGAGCGCACTCAGCACTGTCACTGGGGCTTCATCTCTTCAGAAAATGTGGCCCTGAGGTGACAGTCTCCTTAGGATCACTGAATTATTCTAATTTCCCACTAATGCAATTTCAATGAACTCTATAAAAGGAATTACATAGAGAGCGAAAAGGAAAAAATGGAAGAAGAGTGAAGAGCGATGCAGAAGGATTATAAGGGCAACTAAAATTGTTGACTAAAAATGAGTTTGTGCAATCCCCCCTTCACAAAAAATAAATCACCCCAAAGTCTCACAAATAAAACCTCAGTGCATAAACTCCGACTTTGGATCCAGGTTCTAACTTCCACAAAGACGGTTACAGTAACAACAGAGATAAGAGATAATTTTCTCCATAATTGCTGCAATATTTTGCAAATACATTCAGCTGAATCTAAAATGTAGTACCGTGCCATTTTTCAACTAACATATGGCACTGAGAGCTTCAGCAAGTCACAGAGGGCCGAGTCTTTGAGGAATCATTGAGCAACTTGCTTGAGACGTGCTCAGAATATTTGAGAAGTATATATATTCATTAGCTTGCTAGCATGATTTCATAGGAGGGACATAACTTTTGTGGTTTTTGTTTATTACCCTCTAAATCCTGGAAATCTTCTTAATGCTTGGCTTAAACTACACCGAAGTGATAAACATAAAAACACCGTCTTCCCAGTTGGTCCTACACTATGCATATGGTCTCCAACAGCTTAAAAGAAACTCCCAGAACTGTGATTGCCTTAAGTTTCGAGTAAGATTTGTAAAATCAGGATTTCTTCTGTCCACTTTCCACTATCTTTTGCTAGGTATTATTACAGACTGTAAAAGCAACAGCCTGGTCAGACTATATTTTCAAACCCCCAGCATGTAGGATTTTTATGGGGGATCACATGAATTGCAAGGCATTCAGTGCTTGCTCTGTGTGCATTTTCAACACATCTCACAGTGATTTCCACCTCTGTAAACTCTGAGCACAAACCTGGTTCTTGCTCAGAGCACTAATCCTACAGGATTAAGGCATACTGTAAATACCAGACAAATTACAATCGGATTAGATGGCAGTCTGTTCATTTACCCAACACAGCTGCAATCTGGGGCCTTTTCACCACTGTCCTCTCTTCAGAATCTGGAGGAGTTGTCCTTAAAGCGAATGAACATGTTTTCCATTTCATGTATCTCCTGTCTCACCATTTACAAGCGATAACCCGGCACATTTCCACCTCCTAAAGTGCAAGCAGATTGCTCCTTGGGAAGCCAATTGGGAAGCCCTTCTTTGTACAGTTCTGCAGGCCAAAACGACTTCCTATTTATCTCAGAAGAGCACCTTCACAGCCTGCAGTCTGTCCCAGGCAACTGGGATACCGAGAAGATCGTTCTGGATTTCCTGTGGGACGGCAGCATGCAGATTTCCTGCGATTTCCCAGGATTTGAACCAATGACACATTTGCCATGGGATTTCCCTGGGCTCCACAGCTAGTCTTTGTGTCTACATCAGTGAGCACGAGGCCCATCAAATTTATGAAGCCTGTCAGATGGTCCTGGGGTAGCACGGGAATTTCTGCTTGCTTCGCAACAAGCCGGATGTTTAATAATGTTCAATTTTGTCTGCACGTCACCAAAATCTCTCTACTACTTTAGTACAATTATTTGCAAATGTCACATCACATTCTTTGTAATTGTTTCCAATTACAAGAATCATCTTGCCTTTTAGACATAAATTTGCTTCCATCCACCACACAAACATGGTGTTATTGTTTTTATTACTGCAATCACTTATGCAAAACCCTACTGAATCACAGAGGTAAAGCAGGCCACAAAGATATTAAAGACAGATGAAGCGCAGCCTTTGCTGCAGAGACCCATATTCTGAATATCCTGCTAATTCCACTCCCACCTTGGTTTTTGATTCTGAAGTCATAGTTCCTGATTTGCAGAGTTACATGAAAATAAAAGTGCAAAGAAACGGTGTCTGTAAAAAACACTACTAAGAGAGAGCAAAACCAAAAGCAAGGTGATTCTGCTGCATCAGGCTGCTTCCACAGAGTGATCCCAAAGGCCAGGACTGAAATACCACCTTGTCTGCAAAGCCTCTCTGAACCCCTGGCTGGCAGCTAGATAGCCCAGAGCAGCTGGGCTCTGCCCGCAAGCTCAGCCTAGTGAGCACTGGGTTATTGCCAGTCCTCTCCCAAGTCTCCGGCAACGCTGCCTGCTCTGTGACCTTCTCTGTGCAGGAGCCTCCAGGTCTGACCCAAATCACCAGAGCTCATGCGTAGCCAAGCACACAGAAGAGCTAAGCAGAAATAATGGCAGAAGCAGAAGAATTTAGTTTAGAAGTTTGCAAATGTACACAGCAGACAACGTCCAGAATTGTAGCTTCCCCCACAACCAGCTGTACACAAGCTAGGACGAGGTGTGTGGACAGATATGTGTGGGAGACAGAGAATGAGAGCCATGCTCAGCTCAGAGAGGATAACAGTAAAGAAGCAGAGCAGAAGGAAGTGCAGCAGAGCAGCACTTGTGTGGGGCAGCAGAGCCGCGCGGGGACGGCCGCTTTGCAGCCCGCAGCCTCTCGCTGCTCGCGCAGCCCTGCTCAGCAGCTGGCAAGCAGCTGTGGGGCTGCCCCACAGCCCATGCAGCCCCATAGGCCACACAGCAGGTAGCAAGAGAGCTGCCTAAACCGGCTGCTGAGGAGAGGTGCACGGAGGCCACCCGCGGGGAGCTACGTGAGGAGAAAGCACACTGAGCCACTTTGCTCGCTAACCAAAGGTTTTACAGCCGAGTTCCACTGCAGGACACCACTTGGGCACCACCGAACAGCAACCTTTTTCTCAATGGAAATACTGGTGGCAGCTTCTGCTTCCACTCACACCTCCGACTTGCTGATTTCATCAGGAAATTTCACTGATGTTTCACTGACTCAGAAATAAGTGTGCTTTGCTTAAACCTAAATTATATACACGATATGGCACATGGGATTTTATGTTACAGAATATTCAAAGGCAATATTTGCTTAAAGTTTTCCAGCATAACCTCCTCCCATGCGTTTCTCCACGCATGGGTAATATATTTTATTTAATGACAATTCTCAGGAGAGTTCTCCGTATTGCATCAAAACCAGTCCCCTAGCACAGCTAGAAGAGATACTGCAGCACAGCACAGAAAGAGGCAGTGGGAAGGACTGGAACAATTGTAGGCAGTGACTTTACCAAAAACTTCTCAAAATAAACTCTATAATCACTGACCAGGTGAAGAATCATCAGTGGACCTTAGCCCCAAACCCACTCTTGCCTGGTTATTTTGCTACAAGCTACTTGGGCAATCACCATGTCCTAATATTTCTTAAGAAATTAAGGATCTGAAACACTGAGAAGTTCCCAGTTCATGTGGGACTGTGGAAAAGTGAACGACAAGTAATTCCCTTTGCAAAATTGAGCCATGAATCAAATGCCCCTGTCGTGCAGTATACATATTTCAAATCTTTCAAAAACATCAATATGAGAATCAAAGCAATTTTAACAATAATCATTTTTTTCTTCTAATTATAAGAAAACTATATATGGAATTCAGATTACTGAGATGTGCATTTTTTGCAAGAGTTTGATTTAATATAACACACCAAAAGGTATTTTGATGCTAGAAAGAAAGGAGAAAAGCGCTACCAAAACTTACTTTCTGCAGGTTCCTTAGATCTTCGGCCACTGGAGGACTTCCTCAGGAGACTTCGTCCTGAGGTGAAGAGGCTGGTTAGTTCCTCCAGAGGACTGGTGGGCGTCCGAGAACGTGAACTGCTCTGAGAGGATGACCCGTAGGTATTGACCGAGGCATTTACCATCTTTCCTCCTTCTTGCAATGTGTTTCTGGCTGTAGAATGAGGCACTGATGGAGAGCTTCTTGAGAGACTTCCTGAATGTACAGAGTCATAAGGTGGAGGTCTTTTGAGGCTTAAGGGGGTAAGAGACCTACCCATACTGACAGGAGAAGGTGAGGCAGAGTGACTTTTAGGATAACCATGTGGAGACTGTGTTCTGTATAAGGTGGAAGGATGAGGAGGTGAGGAGCTGTGCCCGGGGGTGGTAGTTCCATGGGCCACTGTCTGGTCTTTTTCCAGTTTTTGATGGCCTGGTGTGTGAGGTGGCAGTGAAGATGGAGACGCCCCAGCTTGTTGTTTGATGTAAGACACATTTTCCAAAACGGGAAGTTTCGTGACCTCTAGCGGAGTTAGAGGAGACTCATCAGAATTCGGGGAACACTGCACCGGTGCTGGTGGGAACACCAGCAGTGGAGGTCTATGAGAAAGCAGATTTGGAAATGGTGGGGGTATATCACAAAGCAAGCCCTTGGGAGTAGATGGCACTGAAGACTTGGTGAAATCCAGGTCAGGCACTGTGGGAGTAGCACACTGAGAAGTACAAGTGTGATGGTCGTATTCGCATTGACATTTTGAATCTTGGCCTACATCATCAAATATAGGGTATTTCATCTCCTCATAGACTGCCTCACTTTGGTCATCCTCATCTTTTTTGAAGTCTCTGAGTATGTTTCCAACCATTTCAATATAAACAGGCTCTTCTTCCTCTGTGTCTGGAGCAGGACTGCTGACCTGCGATAAAGAGGCATCCCTAGTGAGCGTTGCCTTCATGGGGCCATGCTTTTTAATGTACGTTTCATCAAAAGATGTGCTTAGCTGAGTGTTTGGATTTCGTTTCGGCTTAGGAGGTGGAATCTTCTTTGTATATTCATCACTGTGAGGTCTTGGTTTGGCTGACACTAAAAGAAAACAAAATACAAATATTCATCACAGGTATTTAACAAGCTTTTTTCAGAAGTAAGATTTTTGTTAGTGTGTCATAAGACTGGAACTAGCCCACTGTTGATTTTCTCCAGAAATACCACAGCAAAACACTATTAAAATATCGCTCTGCTCAAAACACCCCTAATCTTCTCCCAGAATGCTCACGTACTGCAAAGCTAAGCAGCTAGTGAGCACTTCCTTTCTTTTGAGAAAACTGTTCTCTCCCAAAGTCTTTGGATAGGGATCTTTTCATTTTAAACATTATCTTTTTGAAATATCCTCATGGGATTTAAAAAACTTGGAGAGTCACCAAAGCCATAAAGCTAAGCCTCAGAATGAAATCCTTATGGCTGCAAGAGAACAGCTAAGATCCTGGACATCCATAGCGGAGTGACAATGATGTAACTCTGCAATAACACAGTGATGAATTAAGACCTTCTTATTTATAGTAATTTCTTGCATAAAGCAACAATTCTTACAACATCGAGAAAGGAAACTCTTACGTACAATAAGAACCAGTAACATTATAATAAATCCAGGACTTACTGGACATAAATACTGTAAAATTTACTATTAGAATAATCCTAATAACTTTCCATTCCATAAATTAACAAGACTTCTGTGAATTCAAAGGGGAACAGAATATCTTACATATTCAGATACTTTCCAAACAGATTGGAAAAGATCTGGAAAGAACAGATCGTTTTGTCTTTGAAATTAAAAATCGAAGCATTACGATGAAATTCAATTGAAATGAGAGGTCAGGGGTTTCTTAGAAATTATCTGTCATGAATAAATAAGGAACTCATGGAAACTGCATGCCATTCTCTTTGCATAAATAGTTAATATGTCATTAAATGTTGGAGTTAATAAGATACCTCACTCAATGTTTGAGTGAAGTCACTTTTTCCTCCTAAATAGCCAGAAGCCTTCAGAAAAATATCATCAAGCCTATTAACCTAACCTGTATTTCTACAAGGTAAATGGTTCTCCTGTTGAAAGCCTTGATACTTGATTGACATGTTCCACAGCCCTAAGATACCTCATGCCTAGGAGGTATAGGAAGCAATGGGACATCCTTTGTCAATAGTGTCTGTTTAAGCTTAACATATAACTGAAGTACAGCAGACTGAAGAGAACAAGAAACCTAGCTACCATTCAAAGACACAAAGAGCCTCCCTGTGCTTTCTGGTGCCTCTAATGAATGTGTTCCAGTTTGCAACAGGCTGGGGACGTGTGGAAGCTGCCACAGATAAGCGGGTGTGTTAGCTTGACAGTTTTCCACTACGTGGATATATCCTAATGCACTTCAAATCTGTCTTTTTAATTAACCTAAATTAACTTTCTTGAATGTCTGAAGATAGACTTATGGGAATGAGATATAGGCTAGCAGAATCATTTGGGCTTTGTAGGAAATATTCTTCCTCATGTCTATGAAAACACTGCCAGATTCTCCCTGCTTTGCTTCCCGCTAGAACCCTACTTGGTTTCCCTGTGTTATGTTACTTGTTCATTATGTTCACACAAATGCTACTGGCATAAACTTTCAATCCTCTCTCTGTACGTTTATTAACCTGATTTACACCCTAGCATGAGCAGTTTTACTCACATTGGTGTCATTGAATTGAAGACACACTGACTGAGATTTGCACCAAGCCCTGGATCATTTCTGAGCATTTTACAGAGGACCTGAACTTTATACTGCCTACAAGATTACATGCAGTGGCTACCTATTTGTGCACTCTGCTGCCTTTGGAACCGCGCGTTTTGCCCCTCACAGGGGCAATGTTGTGCTCCCCATTCACCATGCCACCATCCTTACTGCCTAATCTAACATGGAAATATCTCCCACTCCTCATTCCTCCTTAGACCACGGCTCCCTGCTCTCTCTTCTCCTCTGTCTCCTAAACCATGGGTGTTCCCTCTCCACGCTTTTACCTAAGTCTCACTGTTCCTCCTTCTCTCTCTGCCTGGAGAGAGGTCAATGCCAGACAAAGAGAGATGCTGCTAGGCTGGAGGCCTCCCATGGCTGGTACCAACTGACATCTTTACCTCCTGATAGTTACAAGTGCTTAAGAGCATCACATTTTCAAACAAACTGTGAGAAACAGCCCATTTTGCCTCTTTGCCACTTCCATTTTACAATTTTCTTCTAAACCAACGAGGTTCTGCCATGTGGCCTAGATGTCACCTGAAATGTTGGGGTTTGCATATGCAACATTCAAAAGTTATTACGCTATAGACAAAGAAATGAGAAACGTAACGGAATAAAAGAATGACAATCCGTCACTCCTGTAGAGTATTTTTGCATGGGTTGAAATTAGCTGTTGCAGTGCCACACACACACAGCTTTCTCATCTGCCCCAGTGACATATGCAGCATTAGCCTAAAATATCGTGGTGACATTATCAACAAAAAGGCCAGCTGACCCCATCCTCTCTTATCACGCACAGGCTAAGACATGACAAGGTGAAAGACTTACTTTCCTTTCTGTATTCAAAACATATTTTCCTCTGCCACAGTTCATTTTACTAAAACATGTATTTCCAGGGGAAAAATGGCAAGATGTTATTTAGGTATTTTTTCTGCCTTGCTAAACCAGAAAGCTTTACATATTTTATAAGCATTTCATTATATTGATACCTAACTCTACACTATTCAAAGCAGAAACATTTGGTGCTAGAAGATTTCCTAGAAAAAGCTTACAAGCAAATAGTTAGGGAAAATAGCACAGGACTCTTATCACAACTGGGAGCAGAGAAAGTGCTCAGCACCCACTGGGAGCCCCCTCCAGCAGCAGCAGGGCGTTCAAGAGGCAAATGCAATTAGTATTTAGGGAAGTTCGGATGCAGGAGCCTATCACAGGGATATAGCAAAGGTTTCTGCTCTGGGCACATCTCCCTAGCAAGGGAGGGCACACGTGTTTGTGAACTATTGCTCTACCATAGAGTAACGGAGAAGAAGACAGGACTGCACAGCTGAGCAGAGTGGGGTGACGCAAGCAAAAGGAGCAGGGGGTATTTGCACAGTTTCTGTGTTACCAATCTGTGGCAGGGATAAACGTGCGTGGATGCAGAAGCCTGGCAAGATCCCCATGCCAATGAAAGGGAATTATTTGGCACTCTCCTGAGAGGAACGGGCGAGATTGCTTCAAGTACTTGACATTTATCGGGCAGAAAAAGCTCTCAGCGCCTGCTGGGAACACAAACTCCTAAGACAAGCAAACCACACTGACATATTGGTGATGCATATGCTGCAGCGTCACCAGCTCCAAACACGGAGCAACTAAAAGCTTTTCAAGGTGGACTACCATGCCCCTGGTTCCTGTGTCTCCAGGAACCCTTCTTGGACTTTGCTACTATCATTTCATGGCACAAGAGCCCCAGTCCAAAGCTGTCTTGGTGCATCTAAGCCAAGCGGGGAGGCAGGCGCGATGCAGAGCCCTGGCACGACCAGCACCGCTGTGCGGAGGCCGCCTCGGCGCTCCTGGAACAACAGGAGAAGCGGTCGGGAAAAGGACACCCGACCTGCACTTAACTGCGTTTACACTCCTCTGACAGCAACTCTCTGCACTTAATAACATTCTGCTACCAAGCAATCATCTACCTCTAATGAACTGCAAATGAATGAAATCATAAAGGCAGTCCTGACTTTGGTTCTGATCTAGAAACAAGCTTAGAATACCTTTTGGAAGCCTCCTGAATAAGCAGAATATGACATGTTTGAAATGAGAGATTTGTAGCACAAAGGTTACGTGCTGCTTTCAGACATGCCCAGATTATCTGCCTTTCATAGTTAATTTTGGAAATACAGAATACTTCTTGTCATCCAAACCTTTTGAAGTCTTTCTTCTCTTTTAGGAGAGAGTGAATTATGAAAATACGCTATGGCATTGCTTTTTATTTCCTCACTCTGTAAGGCATGGGTGAAAACATTTAAAAAACAAAATGAGTTTGCCATTTTCTATTGTGCTTTATCTGTTCACCAGCTTTTGCAATTCAGAAACCAAGCTGATTTATTGTACTATTCTATGCAATTGAAAGAACAAAATACATGTAATAGTAAAATCCCTACCTTTCAATTTCTACAAGATGCCACATCAGATATATTTTAACATTCTTTCTGAATGATGGAATGATTTGAGGCCTCATATAACTTTTAAAATGTCTTTATAATGCTACTTTAAAGGCAAGAAGGAATTAATCATGCTGCATTTTGAGGGGTACTTCTATCAAAAAGAGCCTCCAGGCATGAAAGAAAAAAAAAAATCTTTAATGAAACCCTGAACTTGCTTGGAAACTGAACCAAAGATGCACAGACTCTGATTTACAACACACAGAATTTGCAGGAGAAACTACAGCTCTAAGGGAGCACAGTATCTATGTATATTTGTGTAAGATCAAGCCTCCAAGTAACCCCACAGGTTTTAATAAAATGAGTTCCCTGCTCAAAGTTGTGCATGATCTTCAGTGCATTTGTGCTCCAGTGCTTACATGGCTCTGATTTCATTATCTCTGCAGATGAAGTTTGCATATTCTTAGTGAGGCTGAATTAAAAAAGGCACGGGGATGTGAACTGTGCAAAACACCCGTACTCAGGAGACCCAGGGTTAGTTCTTACCTCCGTCACGGACCAGAGGTCCTTGAGCGTCATTGCAACCCTTAATGCCACTTTTATTTTAACCTTCTACCTTTTGCCTGAGCCACTTTAGGCTCTAAAGTCTCTCAGGCAAAGGATTTGCTTTATTTTTTGGTTTATATCACTCCTTGCATAGTGGTTCCTATAATAACTGGGAAATGATAGCAAAAACAACAGCAATTTTTACTGAATATTTGCTGTGTTGAATGTGCATCTTTTCTGCTCCAAGACATTTTTGATAGCAAATGTTCTTACACTGTGAGCAACAATATGCAAACATACTCCAAAAAGTGCATATTAGCAAATAAGAATAAAAACATCATTACTGGCTATAGTA